AAGTTACGCCAAAAAGAGGCCTTCCCTTTATACACAATTTGATATAAGGGTTATCTTCAAGGTGTTCGTCCTGTATCAACACTGTATTATATGGAATGACCTGGTAAATTTTTTTTTTTTTTTTTTAATCCTGTTTTGTCTGGCAGCTTTTGCAAATAAGATTTATGATGAATGCACTGTTGTGCCAAACACATTGTGTTTTTCCAAGATCAGCTGTATAAATCTCTATATGCTCCTGTTTTTCATGTATTTTTTTAAATCTCTTTATTTATTCATTTCTATTTGTGTTATTTCAGTTATTACATTATGTGGTATACTATGTCTAAAGAAGGGCAGGCAGGAGAGAGAGAAAAAAGATGGGAGGAGAAAATAGGGGAAAATATAACAAAAGGATAGAGTACAAATCGAAATGCACAATGTTTCCCCAACTGCTGGACCTCTAAGAAAAAACAAAGATGAATAACCTGGAACACAAAAATATGAAAACGCACAGATACATATATCCACATATATTTAAAGCCACTCAAGGTCAAGGTATATTTACTCCCCTTACCTCAGTCTCAAAGTGTATATTTATTCTTACTCTTCCTATATTTATTGTTGTTCTTTTGCACTGCTGTAACTGGAGCCTCTCTATATACTGTACTGTATATGGCAGAGATGACAAGAAAGTTTATTTTGACTTTGACAATCTCCGTGTGGTGTGTGTGTGTCACAAATGTACTCGATAATGAGGTTGGGAAACCACAATAACGCCCTCCAGGGGTCAGAGGCAGACTGAACTGGATCCAGGAGGCCATCCGCAGCCCCCAAGTTTACTGAAGAGCGGATACCACACATCTTGGTGATGTTTAAATTTTGAGAACATGTGTAGCGTCACCTTATGCCATACAGAACGTTACGTCACTGGGATGGTTGGTTGAGGCTCATAGACTTACATTCGTTTATTTTAGCTAACTAGTGAGAGAATCATTAACTGAGGGGATCACTCTTGTGCTGCCCGTCTGTAACAATGAGTTTTACACTAAGAAACAGAGGATATACTGTCCACTTTCACCGTCTCTTTAGCTGTAATTGTCTCTTTGGTCAGCTGCACTGAAACGGGAAATTCCAGCTGTTCACTGTAATGTTCACGTTTGTAAAGCACTTTATAAAAAACATCATGAAATATTTCAGATGTCATACAGTTTTGTCTGTCTCAGCTTTTAAGGCTTATACTGAATTCATCTTTATTGATTTACAGCCTTGCTGGCGCTTACTTTGATATAATACTCTCATCACTCTTACTCACTCTCACTTTGTAAAATGTATGAAAGCACATTATTAGATGAGCTCTGTCACGTTGTAATCTTCTATTTCAGTGCATCATATACATGTGAGAAAATATGTCAAGTAAGAGACAGCAAAATGATTTATAGGCCTGTTGCCTCAAGAAATATTCCTGTTTGTGTCTGAATTTCTTAGCAGTCATCCCGACTGATGAACAGGTGATTGTTATTTTAAAAAAACAACAACAACAACAACAACAACAACCCCCCAACACACTGACCCAGAGACTCCAGACGAAGGACACAAAACTTTACAAACGGTATAGAACAGTTTATTAAATTTAGACTTTTAAGAAGTCATCATATTCCAATGCACTCCATCGAATGAAGCGCATTCGTAATAACACCAACCCCAAAAGGATTGATCACGGCATCAAAAACATAAATAAAGCAAATGAACATATTTACAATTTAACATGGGAGTTGTGCACAAGAACACGCAACTACATGTCTAGGAGGAGAGATCAGACGCCGAGGAGAAGGGTCTGACTTTTCAACGAAACCATCCGGACGCCTGGAGTGGAAGGAGGAGAAACACGATTTAACAAAGCGCGAGAGAAGACCTACACTGTAATCACATTTTCTTGGATTGACAGAAAAGAGGGAAAAGCGCAGAACCTCTGACAATACTCTATAATGCTGTTTTCAGTATTAATGGTATAAAGATGACAAGCCATCTCCTGCTGTAGGTGATTACAGTCCCCATCCTTGTCCATGAATAATCACAGTTCACTCTGGAATTAAAACAGGGGACGAAACGTTTTCTCCGCTAGAAGAATTTGCCCTGAATCAAATGTCTGAATCAGATATGAAACATTTAGTCTACAAAAGGTGTGACGAAAGAACACCTTCTTTATACAGTCCTTAAAGCAATTTCCACCTCTGTCGTGGTAGGTTTACAGTTCGTTTTAATCATCGTCGAGAGAATTGGATTTGGACATGAATGGCTTGTCTTCAGTGAGCCGAGTGGATGGATGAGCAAACATCACTATGACTTCCTGTAACAGTCAGGATTTTACAGTAATCAAAAATCCTGAAGATAATCAAAAAACTGTGCTTTAAAAAGAAAAAGACAAGAGCCTTAAAAAAGTACAATCATTGAAAGCATGTTACAATTAGTGAGTGTGTGTAGTTACAAATGGGTCATGTGATTCAGCACTTCTAATGCACATAAAAAAATGTGGATCACATAACCAACATCAGGTCCAGGTCCCCCAGTACACAGTGTAGAGGGGTATCGACAGTATCGACTTATTAGCTAAATGCTATTTTTCTGCATCACAGGAGGGCTGCAGACCTCAGTATTTGTGTTTTTGTGCTTCACTGGGAACACCAGCTGGATGGGGTCGGAGCACAGTAGCACAATTCCGAAAACGTGAGGCGAGTTATCCGTCGAAGAAAAGTACACTTAACTGACTTTCAAATGGCACTCTGGTTCATGCAGATTCTCCTCCGGAAAACCCCTTCCACTTGGGTCCCCTAACGTGTGAAAACAAACACTGAGAATAATTTCAAAGAGGCAACCACCATCATCTCGTCTCTGGAGGTCACGCAGTAACATTCATCTATCAGAGATCGTCTCCTCTTTGTTTCCTCTCTCACAGTATATCACACTATCTTACAGTAGCTTAATGAAAAAGCCATTTACAAGCAACAATATGTACAAGATTGGTCTTAGGAATTACAAAGAAAAGCATATAAACAGGGTTTTCTCTTCAGTTCTGTACAGAGAGCAAAGAGGAGGTGTTAGAAAATGATTGAGCACCTCAGAGTCATTGTGTAGAATTTACACACAAAAAAACTTTGTCCAATTACTGGCTTTAAGATGAACTCACATTCACCCCTTCATTTTCCTAACAGGTACATACAAAAGGACAAGAGCCA